TAATAGCAATCTCTAGTTGATCTTTTTAACTGAAGATGCTACGACTTCTACATGCAAAGCCCAGACTCTCTCACTGAGCTACGGATCACTGGAACCAAGTCTCTCGGCCTTTTTACTATTAGCTAGGGCCCAGTGACTGTGAATAGGACTGTGCCTTGAGCTGGAAGATCCTCTCCTTCGGATCCCAGTTCAGCAGCCACAAAGTCACTAGATAACATTAGAAAACCCATTTTTCTCTTAGCTTCGGGCCTCCAAATAGAATATGTCGATAATGACATTTATCACTCAGATAGTAAGTGTGGAATGCTTTGAATACTTGAAATTTGCTATACAAATGCTATTCTTATTTTAATAATTTCTCTCAAGTTGTTTTCTGCCCTGACTATAAGCAGTTCATATGAAATGGTTTTCTTCACAATCTATCTTACAGAAAAATGCACCTTCTCCATTGCTTGATTTCATTAAAGCACTAATTCATTTGCAGATCAATTTTCAAGCAGCCTTCCGATGTGAATACATAATTGTTCGTCTTACTAACTTTGTCAGCATTTTTCCTGCCTATCCCAGCATTTTGTAAATACATTTATTTTAAAAAGAAAAGATCAGAGGTGTGTTGTCAAAAAGTGTTCAATATAAACTACCAACTAGCAAATCCCTCAAGGTAATAACATTGGAAAGCCTCAGCTACAATTTCCAAATACAGACATTTCTGCTAATGCTTCTCCTCCTTGAAAGCAGATTAGTGCCTTCCCAATATTCAGCTCACTACAATAAAGACAAATATATTTCTAATCCTGTAACAGAGAAAATCTGTGAATTATATTGCACTCTAGGCCTTAATGTATTACATACAAGACCTATTGTTTTCCATTGGACTTAAGTGTGCCGAACTGTGCTGGATTGTGATAATTACTTTTAAAGCTGAAATGCACTCTTGAAAATAAATAACAGCATGTAGCCAATCTTAGCCACTATTCCTCTACCTATGAAGGCTAGAAGGAGAATAGTGTCAATACTGAGACTATTTTTATCCTACTGTGTTCTTATAAGTTTTGAAGTCTTTTATGCTACAAACTCTTTATATTCTAGGAAAAAAATAATAAAGATTATTGAGCATGTAGACACAACCAAATCGCAGCACATCTTTTCACTGATTTACAGAGATCCAAAAGAAAGATAGGGCTTCCTTGCAACTATGATATTCTACATCTTGGGTAGGAACATAAAAGTACAACAAAGACATTAACAATTGCAGTTCAAGCTGAGAGTGACTGTTCTGTTTCAATTCAGTGACACCACTAATGGCTTCTTAGCAGCTCCATGAAATCAACCAGCTGTCAGGCTGATGCATCAGAAGAAACAGTTATGTTCCCCTAAGAAAAAGCAACACATCAGGATGTTTGGCAAAACATCTGCTCCTTTGCACTGCGGTTTTATAATAAACATGCAAACAAAGAAATGAGGGGGGGGGAAAGGAGAAAGGCACCCAGAAAGCAAATGTTTCCACTGCACCTTTACCTAAATTTGAAATAAGCATCTTTTGAGGAAACAAATCAGAACAGAACCAAAACTACACTCTTTACCACAGTGTAAATGGTTTATTCTTATACTGTCACCAAACAGAAGGTGCATTATTTAAGTGATGTACAAACATACTTTAGAAGTGCTGGTACTTATTTTAAAGAAATATATAATCTATAGCTAATTTGCTCTCATATACATACAGTACACACAAACAGAAATGTTAACAATTTTATAATTATACGGTACTACAGCTAACTTTAAAACTGGGTCTCAGTTGGAATATAGAACTACAATATAGTAAATAAGTATTGTGCAGTTGAAAAATCCAAGGAACATATTACTTAAAATATATTTATCTACTAATTTCAAAGAATAACAACAGTACAGCTAATCACCCATTAAAAGAAAAAAGGAAACCAAGAACTCCAAAACTTCAAACCCTTATATTTACTATCTATTACCACTTTCAGGCACAAAACTATAGAGGCATGCATTAACAGATTATGTTATTACAGCATTTCAAAATCAACATTACTCCAAGAATTAAAAATAAAATGTTTTCTTGCCAGAACAGATTTGAACAGTCTGAAATTATTTGAACATTTGAAATGAAACTCTTAAATATTTAAGATTTCCAACTCTCCCATGTATACCCAATATGGAAAATTGTTACAGCTCTAATTTTCTCAGGATTTCTTGCTTTACTGATTATGCATCATAAAATGTAGGCATCGTTTACAATAGGTATGAGATATCAAATGTATTAACTGCCATTTTCTTAAACTGCTTATCTTCTGTGGCTCACCATTTATAATCTGTCAAATCTTCCAGGCATTTTTGCATGTATAATTTAAAGCCATCTGTTCTATGTTCTTTTAACTATTTCAACGTTTTCATCTACCTAAGATCCACATAACTGGCAGCCATTCAATTCAGCCAAGCTTTCTGAAGTGGCTTCTTTTCAAAGAAATAAAGGGGGAAAAGGGCAGGCAAGAAAGGAAAAGACATACTAATGTAAATAGCTTAATTTTGTAAACATGAAAGCATACTTCCAATCCAAGCATAAAAATACACTAAATCTCTCCTTCAGTTTATACTGTATTGGAAGAAAAAAACTTGACATACTAAAAAGGTTCCTTTTAATTTCCATTTAACTGTAGTAAATGTTGGGGTTTTTTTCTTTTCCACCCACAAAAACAAAGGAAATGCAAATTAAACACAAGGAATTTCATGAGATGTTAATGCAGATGTTACTGAGATGTTAGAGTAAATACAAAACAAATGCAAGAAACAAGAAAGTAGAAGCCTGCTTAATGATTTTATTATTTATGAAGTGCTCAATGTTTTATTAAGTTCTGCCTTGTGATCAGGGTAACTTTATAAAATGAAAAGGGGTGTCTGTTGAGAAATAAAATGAAGCAGCAGTTTTTCTGGTCTCCCTTTTTATAAGCAAAGACATCAAGGTGAGATGATGCAACTAAGATGTTTTTCGTTTTAATCTTATTAGGGAGCAATTGGGAATTTAGCATACTAATAGTATTTTGAAAGCCATAGCATCTGGAACACAATCCACAGGTCCTTTCCAGAATGGGGCCAGGGTATGGTATTGGTAAACCTAAGAAAAACAATCCACAAACTTTAAAAAAAAATGTAACTGCAGCCGATATATTTTCTGTGCCCTCAATTATGCCAGGAAAATTTTTAAGTACCTCATCTATATATGGCTCAAGCACAGAACTACAATATTTACAAATGAAAATACTTGCTTTTCACTCAAGTCTTATCCTTTGTATAGTATTACCATTTTAACCTGATAATTAACAAAAAAAAAATCTATGGATGAAAACTGAAACACCACAAAGAACATAGTCTGCCCTATAGAAAACCAATTCTTTCTCCACCTGTCCCAAAAATTCAGGCCGTACAACTTCTTCTGTCCATTTTATAAATGTAAATTATAACCTTCATTCGTAGCTTAAAACTTGCTCGACCAGAAATCATTTGGAAGAAAATAAACATCCAAGAACGCAACGTTGTAGGGAAAAGAGGGAGGGGGGAAAAATCCCTTTTAAACTTTACATGACGTCACTATCCGTCCTTGTAAGATTGCCTAAACTTTGTGGGTTATTCGCCGGGACTTGAATCATTTCATCCTCTTATCCTTTAAAAGACACACACGCACGCAGACCCGGACTTGATTTTTTTTTTAAAAAAAAAAGCCCAAGATGGCGAAAGGCTTGTTGTTTAGAGGGCAGAAAAATGGAGGATATTGTAATATACACAAAGGGATAAATTTCAACAACTCGGCTAAAGGCAGCAGCTGCGTCTCCGGCTTTATAAGGAAGCGACACACACACAAAAGACCGGAGGGGGGGGAGAGAAAGAGGTTGTTGGAAAAAAGAAAGCAGCAAATGCCCCGAGAAAGCAACCACGACTCCCGCCCGCCCCCCATCCTTCTTAGCTGTACCCACACCCCACTTTTTGCAAAGCGGCCGCAGCCTCGGATTCAACGCTGGCCGGGGAGCGCTTTAAAAAGAAAACGCATAAAGCGGGAGGCAAGGAGGGGGAGTTGACTGTGAAAGCGGAGGGGAGGGGAAAGAGACGGGCACGGCCAGAGACCTCGAGGAAGGCGAGGGAGCCTCGGACTCCTTCGTGCCCTCTTCCCCGGGAGGTGCCTTCTCCCACACTTGGGGGGGGGAGCCAAAGAGGGAGAGGGCAACCGCCCCGTATCTGAGGCTGGCTGTCATGCTCAAAGTCGCCTCAGCAAACGAAGGAGAAAGCGATTCAAGCAGCCAGGCAGGGCGAGAGGGCACAAAAGCGCAGCGGCAGTTCTGAAGCGAGGAAGGTCGCTAGCGGGCGGGTACCAAAAAAGACTCTCGGAATCGCCCCCCCCCCCAGACTTTTATTGCCAGCCACGGGGGTGGGGTGTGGGGGTGGAAGGGTGTTGCAAAACCCCAGGCACCAAAGGTGTCCCCCACCCACCGCGGAAAGCCGCGGCTCCAGCCCCCGAGCCCGTGTTAAGTCTACCCGCCCCTCCTGTCTCTCGGGCACAAGGTCAGTTTCACTTTGCTCTACTAGTTGAGCCACCGCTACCGCAGATGCACCGAGCCGGCGACTGGTAGTCCCCCCCCCCCGTCTCTCTCTCTCTCTCTCTCTCTCTGTATATCCGTCTGTGAACGAACTGTCGAAAGACCGAGAGATAGACGGGCACCCAGCGAACGCCCCTCGCATGCACAAGCCAGCAGCGCCCTGGCAACAAAGAGCTGCCACAGAGAACCGCCAGATACTCCCGAGGCTGCCAAGAGGTTTTCCCCGCGCCACCCCCAGCTTCTTTCTCTCCCATTTTCTCTGCCGCTCCCTCCCCGCCCCCGCCGGCTTGGAAGCCAAAGCTCGGGGCGCCTCGGCCGGCAGCACAACTTGCACTTCCCCCTTAAGCCACCCTTTTCCCTCCGCCTCCGGAATCGATTCGAACTCACCTTTGCAAATGAGACGCGAAGCGACGGCTTTCCCCGCTCCCTTCCACGCGCGCACCGCTCCGGTTGTGTGATCTGGATGCTGGGAACGCAGCCTTCCTCCAAACAGGCTGGAGAAGGGAGTGAAGAAAGACCGGGCCGGGGTGTGTGTGTGGAAGAGAGAGAGAAAAGGAGGGGGTGAATCTAACTAGAAGGATTCATGATAGATAACCCGCCTCGTTCCCGCTCCGTCTCTGCTTTAGTTCGTTCCAGCGGCAGCAGCTTGAAGCCGATTCTCCTCTCCTCAAGGTTTATTCAGCTTCACTTCCAGGCAAAGGCTTCACCGACCCAAAGTGACGTCAACCAACTCGCTCCTCTCTTTCTAACAATGAAAGTTGCTGTTAAAGAGACCGGGGGGGGGGGTGGAGAGAGAAAGAGAAAGAAAGAGAATTGTTTATCTCATTTCAGCTTCAGCAATACAGGACCTATCAGGCCAGGGAAGCCGCAACAGCAGCAGCAGCAGGCCAGGAGACCAAGGGCGCCGTTCCTTCTCAAAGTTCACCCTCTTGCTTTGCTCGCGTTTCGGACCCCTCAAGGAGCACCCTCTCAAGTTGGAAGAAAGTTGAGCCGCTTTGTTTTGGGGAAGAGGTACCGCTCGCTCGCCCCATAAGGAAGGGGCTGGCCAGACGTTGGTCCCTCAGGCGGGGTCCCGAAGTGAACGCATCCTGGGCAAAACGCCGGGAAATCGTCACTAACATTTTTAGGGCGCTGTACATTGGCGGGGGTGTGTGTGTGTGTGTGTAAACGATTGGCACGGAAAGAAGCAGCTCCGATTCCTTCCTGAGTAGGAGTGTGCAGGCTACCCAGCGATGCAGGCACACTCCAAGTAAGAGAAAAGGGAGAGCCGGCGAGCTGGCCATCCTTATATCGGCCCCCCAGCAGATAAATGCTATCTTCCCTCGGCCAATAGCCGTCTCCTTTAAACGGAAGAATATCAAAAGATATCCCAATAATTGTTTTAAGTAGTATTTTGCATCCTCATTAAGACCGCAGCAAGACAGCCAAATGTGTTTTCAGTATCCAAGCTATCAGCTCTTGGCCTTTTTGCTATGTATAAACATAGTCTAATATATGGGGGCTTGGTAGTTATTGTAGACACAGATAATTACATCTTTTCCAGAAAAAAAGAGAGAAATGCAAAAGAGTTCTAAAAAAATTAATCAGTTTTCTGATTCAGTAGTTTCTAAAACGTCTCCTGGCATTGGATTAAAGTTGTGCTAAGTCGGGGTTAAAGTACACTGCAAGCCAACCATTGCTTCCTGTGAACTATAAAACATATAACCTTAAAACCTACAATGGAGAAGAGATTTTGACAAGAAATAGCAAAGTGCAAGAAGATATTATTGGGTTTGGCAATCTGAAATTGGAGCATGCAAATTGCTAACAATTCTTTGCATTGTGAGTAAAGCCCTCTAAAATCTGCAGATTTTTTAACATCAGTTCTGAACAAAAGCTGGTTGCAACATCAAAATTATATGCATATGTAGATACCATTGTCCTGGGTTTCCTCTTCAGACCCTGGCTGTGATTTTAATTGTACTGGAGGATCTTCATTAGTATTAGCGCATGGAGAGATTTCACAAAGCTGCTTCATTAGGAGAGGAAAAAAAAAAACAACTCTTGGCAGGCTAGGTCTTTTTGCATGCAATGAGAATGTCAGCCTTACCTCGGTCATTTGTAACATAATAAGTGCAAGCACAATGATTGCAATGCAAGAGCCACTGGGGGAAGGGCTAAATATCCTGCCCATCTAACAAGGCTATCTGAAAAGCTCCTCATTACACAGGAAAATGTATTCCAAAAGAAAAAAAAATGTAGAAATAATGTCTTAGCAAGTTGATGACAAAATCTCAGTTAATGACCTACAATTTTAATTGTGCAATTGGTGGTAGTTTGTTTCATTCCTAGTATTCACTTTCAGCAGCAAAATTGTGCTAGCATTTATTGATTTTTTGTGTGTGTGCTGCCACATTCCCGGAATACAGATTTTAATCATTTCACTATTCCACACTCAGTAATTTCATTAAAAAACTGGAGCCTTCTATCCCCAGAAAAGCATTTAATTTCAATGACACACAATTTCTCTTAGTAGCGAACTGTCTGAACAGTAAAAGCTGGCCTATAGTTCAAATGCATAATTTAATCCTGAGTTTCTCTATGCTCTGCATTCCTTTGAAGCTATAATTTGAGTAACTACCTAATAACAGTAATAACAATAATTTCCTTATAATACATTATTAACCCACATTTAATTAACTCAAAGGCCGAAGTCTGTAAATGTTTGATTGGGTCACTAGTTCTATAACCTCAAAATTTACTAATAATCTTGGAGTTAAAATATGGCATAAGAATATAGTTATGAATATATAGACAATCAGATCTCTCACTCAAAAAGCTGTGGACCAAAAGCTAATACTTTTCTTAGAAGAATCAATTTTTGCCTCTTTTAAAAGACAACCAAGTTTTAAAATACACAAAAGTAAACAAGGTATTTAGATAATGCACAGAGTAAATGGTAATAGTTTTCAGATCCTGGAAATAAATCCATCATTGAAAGAAAAATCTTTCAGCTAATAATGTCAGGGAAAAAACTGTTAATCACATGTAACAGAAGAGGTAAAGACATTTCATTGTATTGGATAGTACAGTATAAAATGTTTATAGTGCTGTAATCCTAAAAATTGCATTGCGGCAAATTTAACTATATAGATAAAGGAACAACTATATAGATAAAGGAACATCCTTGTGTAGCAAGCATCAAAATTTATGGCATTGTTGGATTGTCATTTGGATCAAAACACTTGCTTATCTAGATACACAGGAATCAAGGGGTTGCTAATAACTATCATATACCTGACAACATCTTAAGATGCCATCCCATTCAGAAGAACATTATAGGCAAGCCTCCATCTTTTCCATGCTTTGCTTTTCCAAATGTTATATTTACAAGGCATTTAAACAATATCTGCTTCAATTCACTGGAATTGAAACAATCTACTGGAATTGGGGATGGGGGCTTCAATATGCATTTTAAAATATAATAAAATCCACTGATGGTGTTTGTAGTCAAAATCAAGTGGAATTCCCATACAAGAAGTGATAGTTGCTTTGGCTTTCCATGAACTAATTGTTCCCACAGACAAAATATTCATACATATCAAAATCCCTGTTATTATATGATATCTGTAATCCCTATGCATAATTATTCATTGAATTTTGACTGCATATAAGTATAAACCCTCCTATATTCCTAAATAATTCCTAAATGTGGCTTCCTCGTCATAATCTGGGCTTTTTTTAAAAAAAAAAATAGTGGGAAAGTGTCTGTATGGCCTGGATGAATTAAATTTAAAATATCTTCCATCTTTCCAAGTTTTCACCCTTTGTGAAAACACCACTGATGTGCCACTTCCTATTTTGGTCCCCTGTTCTTTGCTGTCTTCGTCTTCCTTCTCCAGGCGATGTTTTGACATGCTTCTGTCAATTTTCTGTGATTTACCTACCAGTTACTGACTATATGGAAATAACTGGAAAAAGACACCTGCTGCAATCAGAGAAAAGGCAGTTCTTGGAATGTTACGTAGTCTTGGCTTATGTAAATGAACTCCATGCATTGATATGCATTTGGTTGTGCAAAGCATTGATAGCAAGGTAGTTTTTTTCCATATTAAATATGTTATTTAAGTTTTGTGTGCTGGCAAATTAATTGTGGTATAACTCTTAAAGAGCATTGCCCTATTTGAAGTAAGGATTTCCCAAATCAACACCACTATTTTGGCACTGCTGCTTGTTGCAGGAATGTAATAGGGAACTGAGCATCTGACTCCCACAAGTCTTGTCCATCATTATTAATTTTCTAGTTAAACTTCCAAGGAGCTAGACATTTTCTGGGTACACAGTCTAAAAGCAACAGTGAATTCACTGTTGCTTTAGGAAGCAAAAACCCCAATGTATGCAATCATGTCAACAGGAAAGAAAAGTCCTGTACCTGCAAGATTATTTCCAATTTGTGTGACCTGCTACTGAAATCTGCCACATTTGTATGTGTTTTTGCAGTGCTCACAATGTGCATAGTGAGAGCAGTTGCATGATAACAATGAAGAAGCTATTGGAAAGTATGTGCAGTAGGGCCGCAAAGCTAGACACGCTTACCCAGAGGTTAGATCCACTGAACTCAGCAGGGTTTATTTCTTATTAGACCCCTATGGAATTGCCCTGCAAAAACATAACATCAGGGCAAAAATATTTCTGCAAAGTGTGCATCAACCATGTTTCTAGTAAAAAATGGAAGCATTTGTAGGAAGGACGTGCTATGAATTGGAAAGAAAAAGCATTATAGTAGATTTGTTTTAAAAAGCTAATTTTTTCATTCAATTATGGTGCAACTATGCCTTAAAATATTATACTTATAAGTAAGACCTCAGTGGAAAGCTCTAAAAGCATAACTTTCGTGCTCAGAAAATTTACTCTGGGTTTAAGAGCTTTACTTTTATCTCAGATACTTGTTGGCACAGAAGAGCTTATGCTCTCTGAGGGCTATTTATACAGTTTAACATGCCTAAGTACTCCTGCCTTTATGCTGTTACACTCCCTGGTTTATGATGTCACCCTAGAGTAGTCAAATGAATGTGGAGCTACTTCATTTCCCTATAATCAAAGAGTACAGAAGGACAAAAAAGCTCGTGAATACTTAAAACACAACTTTAATAGCTTTGCAGCTAGATTGATCTGTTGTTGATCACCGTGACTTGCCTGTTCTGAAATAATTATCCTGCTAGAAATGAGCCTGAAAGAAATTCTACAGGAAAGTCAAGGCCCATAAACGGGTTTCGTGATTTACAGAACATGAAGGGTGGGTTTTTCAAAGGTGGGAGTATAGAAATTGGACCCACATCTAAGAGACAAAAACAGCTTTTCTTTCCAAGTATTGCATTGTGAGCAGAGACAATCTTTCATTGTGCCATTATGGGAAAAAGGGAACAAATGTACCTTTAGGAGAATGAAATCAAGGTAAGGTTCATATCCTGCATAAATAAAATTGACATCAGAGTTGATACAATCACTTACTATTTAGGTTTTAGACCCAATTCTTTTAAAGGCTTTTTACATCACCAGTTACGGGACTCTTCTGATTAGATGATCTGAGTTGATTTTGGAAATACTATATTGTTATTTGAATGATTAATTCCAAAACCCAGTGCTGTACTAAGAGAGTGTGACTCTGCCTAATGGTTCTACAAAGTTCAATTTTTTGAAATATTTACATGAAACCATGAAGTCAGGTTATCTGGAGATGTGGGTTAAAATTTCACTGATACAAGATGACATCTGTTCTTTTCATGTGGTCCAAGTAAAGCAAATAATGGTCTGAACAATTTTGCAGGAAGATGAATGAGCTAAAAGTCAATATACTGAAATTCCATCTGAAAAAGATGATGCTTAATCTTCTTCGAGAGGGAGCAAACTTCCCAAACCAGGATCTTTCACATGTGAAGGGTTATAACTTTCCATCAGCCACAATATACCCAGCAAGAGCATGACATCAGATTGGGAAAGGCTGTTATAAATTATCTGGATTGCATTTTAGGAATGGTCTTGGATTGACATTGAGCACTTTTGATCAGTTCAGATTTGATCTACTAATTCCCAGGCCTAACTTCAAAAAATAGAAATAGCTTTATCACTCTCAGCCTCACTATTAACTTCCCAGCTGGAGACCCATATAATATTACATGAGGAGTGGCCTTTGAAGGAGCCAAGGAAACTTCTACAACTCCAAAATGGGGCAGCAGATGCTCACTCCATTATGATTTTATTACAGTACAGGTGCTACGATCCATACTGGCTTCTTGGTCCTTTCCCTGCCTAAATTCAAGCTACTGTTTTTCACTTTGGAAGTCCCAGTTGGAAGACCAATTAACTGAAGGAGTTTCTCCTCCCTTGACATCTCCTGAGAGGTCTATTGCCTTTTTTGGGAGCCTCTGCAGAATGAAGTAATGCAACTGATTCTTAAAAAGTAGTTCTGGTAATTTATTCTGCTCCAATGGTTTCCCCAAGTTTGTCTGATGCGAAACTGGGTTTTTTTCAGTGCCATCCAAAGAATTTTTTTTTTTTTTATTCTTCCAGGCTTCTCAGTCACAATACTTGGATATTCACCAGCACACGGAAAAAAAAATATATTTGCAGCATGACTGTACTGTCCTTGCAGCAATTCTTTGTTTTAGATTGTACCTGATGTTTTAAATATTGTTAAAAAATAAACAGATTTGATGATTTGAAGAAATATGTTAATCATATCAAAAACTCAGAAGCCAAAATGGCACGAGACTGGAAAATGACACATTTTTTAAGGAACTTCAGTGGAGTGTGGTTGGGGACAGTGCTAGTTTCTCTACCAGAGAGATTACACTTGAAATGAAGATGTCTTTATTTTCACTGCAGCTTAAAAACCACCATGATTTCTCCTTTAAAAAGGGGCTTCTTTACAGGCCTCTTAGCTTAACAATTTCGTTTCTCAAGAGGAGACTCCTGAGCCAAGTAGTCATTAAGGACGCTGCCTAGTATTTGTTGATTGACTGATTATTGGATTTATATAGAAAAAATAGTTCCAGAATGAACTGCTGATACGTACTATTTGTTAAATTTTTGAATAGACTTTCTTCAACAGAAAACCAAGAAAGAGGCCTTGTCAAATTTTCTTTATACAGTTCATTGTTAATTCAGACCACATAGTTTGTTAGTATTTGTATAACAGTGAAGTAAAAATTAATATTTCTATTAAATATTACAATAGAATAAAATATTAATGTTAAATGTTAAATATATTATTTTCCTATTATTGGCACTGCCAATGTTTTTAATGTTAATTTAATAAAGTATACTTGCACACAAACACAACATACTTGCTTTATTAAATTAACATTAAAATTATACATAATTAGAATAATATAAACAACTATAATATAATTATAATTAAAGTATTATATATACTCTCAAAGTATAGAAATATAAAAATACAAGCTGAATGTATTTAGAGAACTACAGTAGACAATGGAAAAGAATTTGCACTGTCCCCTTATCACAGTGTTTCCCAAACTTGACAATTTTAAGGCATGTGGACTTCAACTCCCAGAATTCCACAGCCAGCCTTGCTGGCTGTGGAATTCTGGGAGTTGAAGTCCTCATGCCTTAAAATTGTCAAATTTGGGAAACACTGCCTTATCCCATCATCCCAATGGGCAGGCAGCCATTCCTAGAAAGTGGAAGCACCAAAATTGCCCTCTGATAATATTCAGGCTAATGTATGATTCTCATTGTCTCTGCTGGCATCTAGTTTTCTGGGCAGACGTGTTTCATTATTTCTCCCTTCACTTTCTGAGGATGAAGCATCAGCCCCCAAATCCAACTTTTGCTATTTCTCTCATATTTGTTCCTGACAATCATAAACACTGAAGGCAAGTATAATGCTCTGCGTGATCCAAAGCTTATGATTATTTTACAATGGGTCACAACTAAAATTCCATTTTAATCTGCTCATCTGCATCCGCTCCACATTAGAATTTTGAGCACGTGAGCATAGAGATGCTGCAACAGTCATAACTCATTTTTTTCAGGGCCATTATAACTTTGAACGGTCATTAAACGAATGGTTGTAAGTCAAGGACTACCTGTACGTAAGAGACCAGAAACACAACATGACAAAATATAGATGTACGCTTCACAGTGATATGAAATCAACTTTGGACTTGACTTCTAAGATGCTAAGCACAATAATTGACCACTACTACTTCAGACAACATACATTAATTATTTCAGTAATTCTTACAATAGTCATACTATAATAGATCAGTCCACGTGGTCCTTGACTTAAGACCACAACTGAGTCCAAAATTTCTGTTGTTAACTAAAACATCTGTTAAGTAAGTTTTGCCCCATTTTACGACCTTTCTTGCCACAATTGTTAAGTGAAACACTGCAGTGTTTAAGACAGTAACACAGTTGTTAAGTGAATCTGGTTTCTCCATTGATTTTGCTTATCAGAAGGTCACAAAATGTGATCATAGGACACTGCAACTGTCATAAATACGAGTCAGTTGCCAAGCATTTGAATTTTGATCACGTGACCATGGGGACGCTGCAACGGTCATAAATGTGAAAAACGGTCATAAGTCACTTTTTTCAGTGCCATTGTAACTTCAAACGGTCACTAAATGAACTGTTATAAGTCAAAGTCTACCTGTATTATTTTAGGATTGCAGAAAGATTAATTCAAAAGTGTCTTTCCACTCAATCTTTCCTTAAGGTTTGTTTAAAGCCTCTTTAGCTAAGGAAAGCTTACACAAAAAACTTCCTGACATTCATGGCTGCAAGACCATTAGTGGCTTAAATTAAAAAAAAAAACTTATGTTTGAATAATATTCTAAATGGTATCATGCTTTGGCTCATGTTTCAGGCAAGATGACAAATGAGGATTATGAGAATGAGCAGCAGAGAGGCGTAGGATTATACACTTCTCCTTCTCACCTCCTTCCTTTCCCGTGGCGTGAAAGACAAGCCTGTACATCTACTTCACAGCAAATCGTATTTTTCTTATTCCCTTCAATGAGGCAAAACCCATGACTTATGTAGATCATACTGAGCCACATCGAGAAGAAACCACAGAGTATGACTCTAATCTTTTTTTTT